TCTCACATTTGCCACTCTTAGCTTTTGACAATACATCACAAATGCCATTCCGTGGCAAAAACGATAGTTTTTCATTTCACTTTTGCCACTCTTAGCTTTTGACATGTATCACAATTGCCACTCTAAAATTTTTGCTTTTGCCACGGAATGGCAAGTGTGATATATTGTCAAAAGCTAAGAGTGGCAAAAGTGAAATGTCAAATTCTAGAGTGGAATAAGCAAAGTTGGCAAAAACTAGAGTGGCAAAAACAAAGTTTTCCCGCTAATTATAGTGCACTACGCCTTTTTGGGGGTACCTGTTTTGTTCTTCTCTTGCTTATCCTTCCCTTGCTCCAGCTCTCTTTAGCTTCAGACCTACTGTGACACGATCTGGCCACAATGATAGCCGCTCTCTCTCTCAAACCTATTGTGTTTTTCTTGGCTCCTCTCTATCAAGAAGCAGACTGGTGTATCTCGCTCCAATGTTGAGGCCGAGCTGCGAGTTATGGCGTCCGTGAATGCAGCGATCACTTGGCTATGTTGGCTTCTTCAGGACTTTGGTGTTTCCGCAGCTGCACCGACCCCTTTGCTCTTTGATAACACTGGGGCGCTCGGCATTAACCGTGATCCTGTGAAGCATGAGCTCACCAAGCACGTTTGTGTTGATGCCTCCTGCATGCGTCCTCAGGTGCAAGAACAAGAGAGGATGGTGGCCCTAAAGTATGTGCCCTCGAAGCTTCAGCTTGCTGCTTTTTTGACAGAAGGTCAGACATGGTCACAACACAGCTTCTTGTCCAAACTCAGTGTCCAAGATCCCCCTTGAGTTTGAGAGGGGAGGGGGGGTAGAACAGGGTTGTGTTTTGTGTGTAGTTGCCATATTGCATAGAGGCTTCTTTGCTTATTTCCCTCTTGGGTATATGTACTGCTTGTTGGCCTCATTCAATAAGAAGCTTAGTTCGTAACACCCGCTACCTACTTCAGCTTGGTGTTTTTATATAAGATAATAGACTAGAACTTGCGTTCTTAGTTTTGAACTGGACCCATATGCTGCCATATCAGCCAATATTTGCGTGGAGCGATATTCAGCTCGGCGCGTTGAAGTAGTTCCTTCACCAATAGTGTTGTACACTCTGCAGCAGCAAGGTGGAGTTGTTCCTCCACAACCTTGTGCTACTTGAGGTGATACCAAAGCCTTGTTGATCAATAGTAGTTCTCGGTGTCCTCTTTGAAAGTGAGTTGTAGCAAGTGATGGAGCAACGGGAGAAGAGGATGGATGCAGTGTAACAACGCACTAAAACACTACATGAGGATCCTAGCGGAGATTTGATCAGCTAGTTGAGATGATAAGAAAGGATGTTCCATACGTTGCCAATGAAAATGTTGTAGCCGACGTCGGCTACGGAGGTTGCGGAGTGGGATACTCAAAGAACACAAGGGTTGTCGCCGTGTAGGCGTCGTGGTAAAGTAGAAGGGTAGTGGGGAAAGATTGGAGAATTAGAGGGGTAGAAGAGAAGAATAGGTAGGAACTAGGTATTTCATTGCTTGCCTCCTTACAAGGGGGATACATCCTTATATACGCCCTTTAGGTACTTCAACACACCCTGGATACTTCTAGACTAGGCTGGATCCATCTAAGAGACAACTAGACTGCCCACAAATAGAGTCTTCTACTAGGACACATACACCCTGGATCTTCTAGACTAGGTTGGGTTCATCAAGGAGATAACTAGAGTCTGCCCACAAACAAATTCTTCTACCAGGACACACACACAACCTGGATTCTTCTAGACTAAGCTTGAAGACAACTGGACTCTAAGATGACACAACATTACTCCCCCCTTGCAGATACAACTCGTCACCCAGATGTAGTTCATGGCGGATCTTCCTCGTCATCGCCATCGTCATCGCCATCATTTACTTCAAGGTAAAGAAGGCGTGGGCGACGACGGCCTCTTGAGAATCTTTCATCGCAGTTTGAAATACAATTTGTTTTCCCTTATTGCTGTTATCTCTGCACTTAGCAATCGGTGAACGTGTGTTCTTCCCCAAAGGAGCTTTAGCATTCCATACCTTGTTATTGTTCACTAGGCATGGATGACTTGTCATTGGAGGCCATAGCTATGATGGTTGCTCGTTCATACACGTTGACTCACGTTCCACATTGTAGGCCAGAAGGGTTATGTAGTTCCACATTGACTCAGTAGTAGATCAATCAACCTGGACGTGAAAAGTTGAACCTGCTACGGCATTGAGAGGGGGTCAACACGACAAAGTAGTGCTTGAAACCTCTCTATGTATTTTGCAACAGATCCCATTTGTTTGAAGCGCGCAAGTTCTCCTAGTGGATTGGTCCGAATAGGAGGACCAAACCGTAGTTGACACCGCTACTTCTTCAATGCTTTGCCCCTAAAAATTGCTCACACCGGTTCAACCAAACAAGCGGGTCATCCTCACCACTAAATGTTAGAAAATCCAATTTGTCGTACCGAGGCACTCTCGCAGTGTTAGCAACATGAACCACCGATGGAGGAACATGTGGTACACCAGACTTGGGGGGCCTAGGTGGCATTTGTTGCAGTGGAAACAAAAATCATGTCTGTGAATTGGGAGGCACTGTCCGTAAGCCTTGCATCCCACGCGATGATGTCTGGGAGCATGGCACTTGGTGTTGTGCCAAGATTGTGGGCGTTTGTGTCGTTGTTGTCACTAGGTTGGCGGCCAAATCTGCTGCTTTGTTGCCGTTTAGGAAGGGTAAGGATGGAGGGCGCTACAAGATGCCATCGCCTCCTCCCAGCACACCTGACCTCTCCTCCAGTGCCTTGACTCGTAGATTCAGCGATGCAAACTCCTTGGTGAATTTGTCGCTCAGCTATGCGCTGCCAAGACTTCATCATTAGAATTGATCTTTCTTTCAGGCACATCATCAACCATGGGCTCTGGCACTGATACCAGATGTTGTTGCTTGGCTACGGAGGTTGTAGGGTGGTATACTCAGAGGACAAGAGGTTCGTCGCCATGTAGGCGCCGTCGTACAGTAGAAGGGTAGTGGGGAAAGATTGGAGAATTACTAAGGTAGAAGAGAAAGCATAGGTGGAAACTAGATATTCATTGCTTCCCTCCTTACAATGGGGATACATGCTTATATGGACCATTTAAGTACTTCAACACACCTACTTCTAGATGGGTCCATCTAAGAGACAACTTTCATCTAGGAGATGAAAGGACTCTTCCCACAAACAAATTCTTTTACCAGCACACACACACACATTGGATACTTCTAGATTAAGCTTGACAGACAACTGGACTCTTAAGATGCCATTCATTACAAGAGGAAGATGTTCGACAACGAAGATGGGGAGTTATCTTGGAGCAAGAGTACCACAACAACGTGCAGTTTAGCGTACTTCAAGAAGGCCAGCTTTTGATGATGCCTTGAAGAACCTGATCTCTATGCATATCCTAGAGTACCCAACCCTACATATGCAAGAGAAAGATATAAGGTGAAAGTTGAGGTCCCTACTTTTAATGCGGTGTTGATATTGAAGTGTGCCTTGATTGACTATATAAAGTGGAGACTTTCTTTAAGGTCATGAATATTCCAGAAGATCATAGAGTTCCTTTGGTCGCAAACAAGCTAAAAGGTTAGCAAAGTATAGACTAAGAACTTGAAAGAGGTTTGCTCAATCTACCTTCCCCTAAGGGGATCAAGACCTCCATCTGGGAGAAGAATTCCCAATTATTACAAGCCAGGCCTCCTCTCTTTGGGTTGGGGAAGAACTATCTCTCAAGACCTCCATCTCTTTTAGATTTGGGGATGAACAGCCTCGTCTTGCCTTTTATCATTGTTTGCTTGTTGGATCTAAGTTGCACATCATGTATTGACTTTGTGCTATGAGTGTACTTGGTAGTGCATTTTTGCCTTGTGGGTGTTTCCTCTTGTTCTTTATGTTCAATTGTTCATCCATGAATCCAGCTCCAATTGTGAAGATCGGTCGGCCCTACGGCTTGCCTCGTATCAGATCTTGGACTAGAAATTATGTTCTAAGAGTTCTGGACTGAACTTCTGCTGCCACATTGGCCTATATTTGCCTCTTGAGCGATATCTACCACAACACTTTGAAGTAGTTCCTTCAAGACTTGTGTTGTACACTCGGTAGGGGCAAAGTGGAGTTATTCCACCACAAACCTGTGTTGCTTTAAATATTTGACGTTTCATAAAAACCAAATCAACACCATAAAACCATTTTGATGTGTCATCCAAGTGTGGCATGTAATCGCTCTTCAAGGTAAAATGGTATGCTACGAAAAAAAACTAATGTTACCAACAATGAGAGTAATAATGTTAATATCCTCTCCTGTATTGAGCACTATGCTAGTTATCATCTACATTTCCAAGTACATATTGAACGAAGCTGAGTTAGAAAGTTCATATATAAGCATTTTTGGTCAACTTTTTACAGCTATCAACTTGTTTGCGAAAGTATGCCTACATATTGAGGCTGTAAAAATCAGTATTTTGTCATGGACAATTCGTCACATCCAATGAAAGGTGTATAGTTTCAATAATGGTTGCTAGTATACCTTAAGCCGGCAGGAGAGATCTTTAAACCCCTGCACAAGTTGAGGCCATAGCCTCTCCCTGTCCGCACTATCCATGCACTCAAGCTTACCCATCGCCTCTGCCCACATGATCTACACCCACAAGACCACAATTAACACGATCATGTTATGATATCCAGGAACAGCACCACGAACAGCAAAAACATGGATTGAACTAATTTATCCAACTACGCACATCAGATGCTGCTACAGGCTTCACCCTTTGTGAAGGATCTGTCACGCTAAACAACAGATGCTGCCATCAAAACAGACAGAAAAGCATAAGACAAGTCACATTAACCAGAATCTTTGCAACACAAATACCAAAGTTGCTAGGAGAATCTCACCCTAAAAGCATAGCGAGGGTTGCCTGGGTCCTCCTTGTACGCATCCACCATAGCCTATAAGAACTTAAAAATACCAAGTTTTCGAACCGTTCCTTCCTCAAACCATTAAAAAGGGGCCGACATTTCTACTAGGGTTGCGGACCTGAATGTCGCGGTCGGAGGGCGAGAGCGGCAGCGGCGCAACTGGGGCCATCTGGGTGGTAATCTGCCCGCCAGCCCCGCCGCTGAAACCAAAAGGCGAAGGGGACGGAGTCACCTGCTGCTGGAACCCAAAGGGTGACGGCGATGACGACGGCGGCGCTCCGAACGCCGGCGTCGACGATGGCGTGCCAAACGTCGGGCTCGAAGTGGGCGTCCAAAACGCCGGCGTAGAGGAGGGTGCGCCGAAGGCTGGGGTGGATGAAGGGACTCCGAAGGCCAGGGTGGACGACGGCGCGCCAAATGCCGGCGTGGAGGAAGGGGTGCCGAAGGCAGGGGTAGTGGAGGGAGTTCCGAAAGAGGGCGTAGAAGAGGGCGTCCCGAAGAGGGAGGGAGAGTTGGGGGTCCCGAACATGGCGGCCGACGCAGGGGACCAGCGATCGCCGGCGGCGAGGGTCACGGGGTTTAGGGTTTCTCGGGGAGCGAGCGGATCGACCGGAGCGGAAGCCGGGGAAAGGGGCGGCAATACTGGAAAAAGAAAAAGGCAATGCTATATGGGAACGTCAGATTTTTATTTTTTATTTTTTTGAGCGGTACGTCAGATTTTTTAGGTTTCGCAGCGAACGTCCCGATGGCCATTGGATCAAATGCACTGATCTTAAAGCAGTGAAACTTTTCAAGTCATCCATAACCACCATTACTCTCAGTGAATGACATCACCATTACTCCTCCGTCGCCCTCGCTCTCATCCCATTCCCCTCACTCTCTCTCCCTTTCTCTCTCCCTCTCTGAGTAGTTCGCGACCGTGAGCGAGCATATCGTCCCCGGCTAATGGTGTCTTAGGACTAGGGGTTACTCTCCGGCCGATGTTGTCCAAGACTAGGGGTTACTCCCCATGACGTCTCGCGGCCAGGATGGTCGGGCCGAGAAACCCGTGGTGGTTTATTAACGGGCCACTTAGAGCTGCCCTTAATAACACATACAAAGAAGATTCCAGAAGCCTTGTCATACAAGACAAGAAAGAAGAACTCCTAATTCGTGAAGGATTCCTCTCCACCGACATAGCAAATTAGACTCATGTTACCCTCTGCTTCCAATGCACTATATAAATCAAGGTGTTGATGCAATATTTGCCCTCTTGTGTTTTGGAGATTGTTGACAGAAACATGCATGGACTAATTTGTTTACTAGTGTACACAGAGAAAAATAGTCCATGCGGAACCGAAGAGAATGTTGCCTTCGGTGTCAAGTTTGAGGAACTTCACCGAAGAATATATGTGTTGCAGAGAAGAATGAGCTACATCTATTGAGAACATGTAGACGAGAAGATTGATGTGAAGGAGTTAACCCCTTGAAAGTTTATTGCTGAAGTGAAGCAATTGGTTCGAAGATTCTGTCCAAAGAAGATTGACTGCAGCGAGTGGAAGTCGAAGACAAAGTGAGGACGTAGTATTCATTTCGTTGTTCTTCTTTCATTTATTTGAGTCATAGGACCTCTGTACTAGAGGGGTATAGGTTCTCGAAGCTTAGATCCATTGTGATGCTTAGCTCAAAACCTATGAAAGATGCGAGAGAAATCTCGTTATGCTTCGAATGATCACCTGGCAGCAGTAGACGTTGTTCTTCGCACTGCAGGAGATATCTTTTAAATTGAGGAATTAAAATTACTTGCGCCGCAAAGAATGTTACCGTTGTGCTCAATTTCCGACCGTTGGACTCGTGTTGTTCGGCCATTGGCTGCTCCACATGTCCAATTTGGTCATTTCCCTTCAAGGAAGGTTGCGGCTATAAATAGCCACCCCGCTCCAACGCTACCCGTCAGCTGCTCCTCTTAAGATTTCTGAGAAGGTTGATTGAGTATCCCTCTCCAAGTGATTTGAGTTTAAGATCCACTGAGAGAAAATCAAGAGCCCAAAACTTAGACAGTGGTTTCGCATCACAGTATAATGTAGGGTGGATACCCTAAGGCCAATATTTCACGATTTGGAGGGGAATTCCCTAAGAACACGAAGAACACATGAGAGGGGAAACAAGAGGAAACACTCAAATCAATGGGAAACGGTCACACATGTGCTAGATCCATGAACACAAAGAGTGATACAAGATTCAAACACAACAAATGAAGGATACAAGTAGCTAGTTCTTCTCCAAGAGGTCTTGAATCCACTGGGGGATCTTCCCTTGCGGGGGCTTGAATCCACTTGGGATCTTCTCTGCTGAGGCCTCGGTCTTCAATGGAGTATGTATCAAGTGGATGAGTAAAGCTCTATCTCTCATATGAGCTAAACCAATGCTAACCCTATAAAGATGGAGGTGGAGTCGTATATATAGTCTAGGGGGTCGAAGGGGGCACATGGGCCTCGGCCCAACACACTATGCGCAGACAGACGTTGGTCGTCCGGCAGCTACCGGACGTCCGGTGGCTCGTGAGGGTCCGGACGTCCATAAGGCGTCGGTCGTCCGGTGGCCGTTCGTCCGGAGGGTTCAGACTTTTGTTAATTTCCCTTCTGTTGGGTGGCACCGGATGTCCGGAGGGGCTCAGTCATCCGGACGCTGGGGGGTGTCGAACATCCGGTCCATGTCAGTCATCCGGCTGACGTAGCATTCGCTGGCTGGGACTTGGGCTGGCTGGGACTTGGGTTGGCTGGAGCTTCAGGCGTTAGACGTCCGGCCTGGTCCCGTCGCCCGGAGGCTGTAGTTTTCCTAGTAGCTCTTCTTCTTGGTTCTTGTACTTGGTGTCCTTGCCATCTAGGTCATTGGATGTAGTTGTTTCGTGGCTTCCCTCTAAGTACCTGATCGCACATAGGGTTTCCGCTTGAGGTAGTAGACATGTCTCACATGTAGAAAGTGGTAGTTCAGAGAGGAGCGGGTTCACCTTAGTTTCAATAGCCCTTGCTCGAGCTCTAGTCATTGGTCCATGTGGTGCCATAAAAGATGAAGGTAGGTCCATGGGGATGACCGTAGGATGCTCCGCATCATCTCCCCCCCCCCTGGGAAAGATCCAACCTCGGATCAAAAACCTCATCACCATGGTAGGGAGAGAGATCCTTGACGTTGAATATGTCGCTCATGGAGTACTTGTTGTGTGGCATGTCGATCTTGTAGGCGTTGTTGTTGTAGCGTTCGAGCACCTTGAAGGGTCCATCGGCTCGTGGTAGAAGCTTGGACTTGTGTCCGTTGGGTAAGCGGTCCTTGTGGAGGTGTAGCCACACAAGATCTCCAATGTTGAATATCATGGGGGCTTGTTGAAGTTGATCTTCATCATGAGGCATTGTACTTGGCGCTCAATGGTGTGCCTTGTATCTTCATGCACCTTCTTGAGATAGCTCGTTCGTGCACTCGCGTCCATGTTGATGCGTTCTTGTAGAGGTAGCGGTAGAATGTCCGATGAGGACAACGGGTTGAAGCCGTAGATGAACTCGAAGGGGGACTTGCCCGTAGTTGAATGTATTGCGCGGTTGTAGGCGTACTCGGTGATGGGTAGACACTCCTCCCACTCCTTGATGTGTCTTCTTGATCAACACACGTAGGAGAATGGATAGCGTCCGGTTCGTGACCTTCGTTTGGCCATCGGTTTGTGGATGGTATGTCGAAGAGAAGAGGAGCTTGATTCCGAGCTTGGCGCATAGCATCTTCCAAAAGTAGCTTAGGAACTTGATTTTGCGGCCCGACACGATGGTCTTTGGGCACTCCATGTAGACGCAAGATTTCCCTGCAAAAGAGATTTGCAACATGTGAAGCATCGTCTATCTTGTTGCATGGGATAAAATGTGCCATCTTAGAGAAACGGTCCACAACAAAAAACACAAAATCCTTTCCATTTCAAGTTCTAGGCAAAACAAGCACAAAGTCCATACTAATATCTTACATGGGTGATACAGAATAGGAAGTGGCATATAGAGACCATAGGATTGAGTTTTAGACTTAGCTTTGCGACATGTAGAGCATCAGTTGGTGTAGCAGGAGACGTCGCGTAACATCTTGGGCCAGCAGTAGTTTTCGGAGAGCATAGCGAAGGTCTTGTCGCGTCCAAAGTGTCCCATAGGTCCTCCTCCACGAGATTCTTGCAAAAGTAACAAATGAAGAGAAGACTCGAAATACATAGTTTGTTAGCTCTCATAAGATAATCATCCTTGATGTAATATCGTTCCCAAGATGTATGCGTCAAACATTTGGCATAAGGAATAGCAAAAGTAGGATCATGTGCATACAAGTCTTTTATGTGCTCAAAGCCAATGACATTCAATTCGAGTTTAGTAACAAGCATGCATTTGCGTGAAAGAGCATCAGCCACCTTAGTGTACTTGATGACATGAGGAAAAGACTCAATAAACTCACTCCATTTGGCAGGTCGCTTGTTCAATTTAGTTTGACCCTTAAGGTACTTAAGCGTTTCATGATCCGTATGGATGACAAATTCATGAGGCCGAAGATAATGTTCCCCCACATGCAACACTCGCACTAAGGCATATAACTCTTTGTCATCAATGGGGTAGTTAAGTTGCACTCCGAAAAGTTTTTCACTATAATAAGCAATGGGGCGCTTCTCTTGCATTAACACACCTCCTATACCATTGCCGCTAGCATCGCAATGAACCTCAAAGGTTTTGTTAAAATTGGGCAAAGCAAGCAAAGGAGCATGGGTAAGCAAATTCTTAAGCTCATGAAATGTGGTATCTTGGGATGGTCCCCAAACAAATGGTGCATTCTTTTTACTAAAAGCATGCAAAGGAGATGCAATGGTGCTAAAGTCCTTAACGAATCTACAATAGAAACCGGCTAAGCCAAGGAAACTTCGCACTTGTTGCAAGTTGGTTGGTTGTGGCCAAGTTTTAATAGCATCAATTTTAGCTTCATCTACATGAACACCCTTAGATGACACAACGAAACCCAAGAAAACAAGCTTGTCAACACCAAAAAGGCATTTGTCCATATTAGCATAAAGGCGCTCTTTTCTTAGAGTTTGCAAAACGGTTCTAAGATGGGTGACATGATCCTCTAGAGACATGCTAAATACAAGGATATCGTCATAGTAGACCACAACAGATACGCCAATGTATGGGCAAAGAACATAATACATCACACACATAAAGGTGCCAGGTGCTTCGGATAAGCCCATAGGCATGACCAACCACTCATACAAGCCAAACTTGGTTTTGAAAGCGGTTTTCCACTCATCACCCTCTTGGATGCAAATTTGGTAATAGCCACTCTTAAGATCAATCTTACAGAAAATGGTGGCTCCTCTAAGCTCATCTAGCATATCATCAAGGCGTGGAATGGGATAGCGATAACGAACGGTGATAGCATTGATAGGACGACAATCAGAACACATGCGAAAACTACCTTCTTTGTTAGGCACAAGAACAACCGGTACGGCACAAGGACTTAAGCTTTCACGTACATGCTCGTTGT